AATATCGATTTAAAATTTCGGGACATGAAAGATCAAATATAGTTAAAGACTTTTTTGAAAAATGTAAAATAAAAGGATATAATTTGTTAATTCAAAAAATTGTGAATGATGCTCCTTCAAGAGAAGTTCTCTTTAGTGTTAAAACAACAAATTTTGATTTAGTCAAATTGACTATTATTATTGAGTTTCCAACATCTGAAATTGTTCAAGATGCTGTAGAATTAGTAAAAGGATTTAATGTAGAAAAACATAATGACTTGATTGTAATGTTTGGTAATCCAATAGCCCTTGAAATCAGTTGTTTACAACAAGGATTTGGTTATGAAGTTTTTGATGAAGGTCTTGGTGTTGCACTTGTTTATAATCTACAAGATGAAAATATTACTACAGTCCCTTTCAAAAAAAGTTTAGTTAGTACTAGTTCTCGTCATTGTAACAAACAACAATCTTCAAGTGAAAATAGTCCTCAACTTTCTTCTTCTGTTACAAAAGAACAAACAAGTGATAACAACTTACCTCAAGAAGGTCATGAAACAATTTCTCAAGACGTTTCTTCTCATACAACAACTTATGGACAACAAGAAACAACACATACCTTACCTGCTGTTCCTCCTTTAAGTCCAAAAAGAAAAAAACAAGTTGTTGGTCTTACCCAAGGAAGTGGTTCAGCACCACCTCCTGTCCCTCCTTTAAGTCCTCGTAGACAAGCAGAACAAAAACTTAGTTTAGCCTCAAGACCAACAGGAGCTGCACCGTCACTTCCAGGAAGACCATTAGGTGCTCCTCCAAGAAAGCCAGCGGCTAAACCAAAACATAAACAACAAATAAATCCAGCACAATCATCCCTAGTCATTTAAATTATTATTTTTCAACGGTTTTGGTTGAGTGAAGGAATAATATTTAAAAAGAAAATTCATGGGAAAAGGAAAAAAGATGAAAATAGTAACTTTATAGTTTTAAACTAATATAATATTTTTTTGTTACATAAGACTAATCTGAAACAGAAGAAAAGAAACTAAAAAATAATAAGATAATAAAATGTGGAAGATTTCACGTATTTTTATTGTTGTATTATCAACACTTATTACTGTTTGTATTATAATGATTATATTTATTTTATTATAATTTATTTTGTAGTTTGTTTCATTGATTATATTAGGTGTTACTATTTTTGCTATTGTTCATTACAAACAAAGATACAGTTTTGTTCCATGGAACATAATGATTATGACAACACTAACTGGAATTACTGGAGCAGTTTCATTAATTACTGGGATAGTTGGTGTTCTTGGAGGTGCATTGCAAAGAAAAGCAATTGTTATGGTGGTTTGTTCCTTAATTTTTTATAACTTATAATTTTTATGAATATTAACTTGTAATAGACTGTAGTGTTATTGATATTTTCAACTACTGTTGTAACATTCATTGGGTTATATTCATTTTCTGGTGTTGTTTATACTGATAAAACTTTGAAGAAAGGGTGGTCTAAGATGGATGAAGAAGAAATTCCACAATTTGAGGAAGTTTGGGAATGTCACGAGTTTAGTCCAGCCACAGTAAATACTACTACTCTTAATACTACTGTTGGTTCAAGTTCAAGTGCTTTACCATTCTGTGTTGATGTATTAAGAACACCATTTAAACGGTATAGTGGAATGATGATTGGGTTTAGTTCAATTGTTTATTTACTTCTTGTTGCTATGCAAATTGTTGTAAGTTTCCATGTTGTTAAAGGAGATAAATCAAAAGAAGGATTTTCACCAATTGGAAATGACAATAAAGAATAAAGCAGTATTTAAATTACATAAAAATATAACTGATTCATTTTTAATGAATCTTTTTTTTTTTCATAGTTCTTTATTTTATTGAAAAAAAGATCTTTTAAAAATATTATTGAATGAGTGAGTCTGAAACGCTTGAATTGAGTACTTCACTTATTTGTGTTGGTTCTTTTGTTTTAATAACCTTTATCATATTTACGTATCATTATCTTGACACTTCATTTACAAGTTATTTATCTTATTTATTAATTCCTCTTCAAGTTATTGTAACTTCTATTTTAATTACTTTAAACACATATGAATTTTCTTCAAAACAGCCAATGTTCACTGACCTAGATGATATAAATTATATTATTGTTGCTATAACAGTAACATTAGCTATAATATTTTGTATTATTATTCCATTTTCAAGTGTAGTATTAAATGACAAACAAATGGTTATAAATGCTTTTAGGGTCACATTAACAATTACTTCATTTATGGTACTTTTATCTATTATTATTCCATTAGTTGTTAATGGCAACATATCAAATCAAAATGAATATTCTTTTAACTCTATTTTTGTTAATCTTAATAAAAACTCAAAGCAGAGTCTTTACAAACTTTTAATTCATAATTCCAATTCAATTGTTGAACTTGTTATAAGTGGAACTTGTGCAGTGTTTATGACAATGACATTATTTGGAAGATTATTGATTGTATATTATGGTGGTTATGGGATAGTTTCAACTGGAGTTGAAACAATAAGAGGAACTATTTTTAATCAACAACTACCTTATGTAGAGAAAGAAAAACAATTCCTTTCTGATTTAATACATTCTCTACAACAACGTTATACTCAATATCCAGAATATACAAAATTGAAATTAGACATATTTCAAAAAAGGTATGAAACATTACATTCTCCTAAAAAATTAACTTCAACTCTTTCAATAATTTTTAGAATTTCAGGTGGTATTTTAGCTATTCTTTTTTCTTTATCTTATGTAATTTGTATCATTGTAAGTTTGTATGGATCTATATTATATTCGGATTGTGGTTGGAGATGTGGATTTATACCACAAAGAACTGGAAAAATATTACCAATTGAATATATTCTCGTTTCATTAAAACATCAAAATCTGTTCTTTATTAGATTTCTTTTTATCTTGTTATTGACTTTCCATTGTTCATTTACTGTATTTCTAGGAAGTCGTCGTTTAACAACAAAATTCCCAGGAATTTCCAAGTTTGTTCTTAGAAGAAAGAAAACACTTCCTGGGTCTGTTGTTTTGATTGTCTCATTCATTTGTCTTTCAGCAATAGGATTTCTTACTCAAGTCATTACTCTTTGTCCTAATATTTTGTTATATGGTTCTCAATATGATAGCAATGGTAATCATTGTACTATGGAATCTACAGACCAAAACTGTGTTCCAACTGGAATTAGTAAAGTATTATTTAAAGTTATTGGAACAGTCCCATATGTTGGTTTGATTATTTACTCAATGAATTTGCTTTATATTTTGAGTACTTCAATCTGTACATTTAATGAATTAATTTTATTATTTAATACCATATTTCATAAAACAGAAAAACTATTAAAATCTAATTGAATTTATTCAATGAATGATTAGTGGTTATACTAATTCAGAGAGTAAAGTGCAAATAAGGTCTAATAGTTTATTTCCTGATTCAATATCCATAGTTTCATCTGGAGTATGAACGTTCTTACAAGTTGGTCCAATACTCACAGACTCAAGATCAAATGAAGGGTATTGATTCAAAATAATACTATTCTCCAACCCAGCATGAATAGCAACAACTTTCATTTCTTCGTTATATAATTTTTTATAAACTCTTAATATTTCATCTACTAAATGACAATGTGGTTTAGCTGGCCAACCTCCAACATCTGGGGTTGGAATAGAGATAGAACCTCCATGAAGTTTTGCTATCTCTTCAATACATTCAGTAATGTCTTTTAAATAATCGTTATTAGAACTTCGGGATAATGTACAAACAAATAATTCTTTTTCATTTAATTTAGCAATAGAAAGAGAATTTGAAGTTTCTACTAAATCTGGAACATCAGGTGAAAATCTAACGACACCATGAGATAAATAGTTTAATAAGAATAATATATTGGCTGATTCTGTAATTGGGACAGCATTTCTAGTAATACCCTTTTCAACTGTCACTGTGATTGAAGGATTACTTTCTTCAGCACCATGATATAAAACAGAATAGGCTTGATGATACTTTGTTATTTTCTCTTTAAGTTGTTCTCCATCAGGAACAATAATAGACATAAGTGCTTTTGTTGGAATAGCATTATCTACATGACCTGCCTTAAAATCAACAATTTTGATTTTTTCAGTAATTGGACATTCATGAAGAAGTAATTGAATAATCCATTTTAATGCATTAGCCCTTTGGTGTTGAATTTCTACACCTGTATGTCCTCCTTTAAATCCTTCTAATGTAATGGTAACCATATCTCCATGAGCCTCTTCTCTTTTGACTGGGAAGGTCATATTTCTTTGGGCACAACCAGCAGAAGAAATGCAAACTTCTCCCCAATCTTCTGAATCAACATTAATCAAATACTTTGCAGAATCAAATAACTCTCCTTCCTTTAATTCCATTGCACCAAGTAATCCAGGTTCTTCATCAACAGTAAACAATGCTTCTATAGGAGCATGCTCAAATTTTGGATGAAGTTCCATTAGTGCAAGTAAACAAGCTAAACCAGCACCATCATCTGAACCCAGTGTTGTTCCATCAGCTGAAATATAGGTATCATGAACTTGTAAAGTGATTGGGGTATGTTCAAAATCAAAGTCTTTTCCGTCGATAACACTAGAAACCATATCCATGTGAGCCTGAAGAATAACGTGTGGTGAATTTTCATGTGACTTTGATCCAGGTATATGAACACAGACATTATTAAAATTATCACGCTTTGCTTGAAGACCTAATCTTTCAGCTTGTTTTAATATCCATTCAGAGAATAATTTACAGTGATAACTTGGACGTGGAATTTCACTTAAAGAAATAAACCATTTCCAGTAAGTTTTTTGGAATTCAGTATGACAATGAGTAAGTAATTGTTGGTAAACTGTTTCATTTCTAGAAAGAGTAATAATGGCAGACATTTGAACTATGTTTTTTTAAAGTTCTTTTTTAAAGCAGAAACATCTATATTCTTCTTTTTAAAAAAAAATACCAAAAAAGAAAATGTATGGTGTTTGGGATGATAAAGCATTTAAAATAGAAAGTGGGGATCAAAACAAATATCAAATTATTCGATGGATTGGAAATGGTTCTTATGGAAAAGTTTTTCTGGGTGCTATAGAAGAGAGGTACGAATGTGTCATAAAAATTTTTTCGAGTTTTAGTGGATGTACCTTAAAGAGAGAAGTTTATTTTCTTAACCAACTTCAACACCCAAATATTGTTAAATTATATGATGTAATAGTAAATGAACAACAAAACAAAAGTATTATTATGGAATATATTCATAACATTCCTTTAAATCAAATTTCAAAGAAATTAACAATAAAAGAAATAAAGATCTTATTTCTTCAATTAATTAAAGCAGTTAATTACATTCATTCAAAAAATATAATGCACAGAGATATTAAACCAAGTAATATCATGTTTAATTATAATAATATGACTCTTAAATTAATTGACTTTGGACTTGCTGATTATTATATACAAAATACCAAATATTCAATTCATGTTGGTTCAATTAATTATAAAGCTCCTGAACTTCTTCTTTATATACATTATTATACACCAGCAGTAGATATTTGGTCATGTGGATGTGTATTAGCTGAAATGATTATTAGAAATTATCCATTATTTGAAGGAGAATGTCTAAATGATATTCTTGAAGAAATTATCAAATTAGAAGGTACAGTTGTTTTAACTGATTTCTTAAGAAAAGAACATGTTCAAATCTCTCGATGCCAAGCACTTCATCTTGTTGGAAGAAAAAGTCGTTCAATAAGTGAATATACTGATCCTGTATTTCAAAAAAAACAAACACCTGGATTAATTCATCTATTAAAAGAACTTCTTGAATTTAATTATCATAAAAGACCATCTGCTTCTTATTTATTAAAACATATAACTGAATTTTTTAATTAAAAAAAGACTTCAATTGAAAATAAGTTTATTCATTTTTTCTCAACCCATTCTAATACATATACTTTCTTAATTTCATTTGGATTGTCCCAATCCACACAACCAACAAATAGGTCACCTCCAAATCCTGTAGTGTCTATATAATTCTCAGGAAAATGATGCCATAAATAAATAACATTATCACAAGTAATCCAATAACAATAATTAACCCAAACAACATTATCTGTGTCATTATCACCATAAATAAATAATAAATTATTGTTTGTTGGTAATGGATCAAATCGGCATGGTTTCACATGGTTTGGATTAATTAATGTAAATACAAAATGATTTGGATCATCTTTTATCCATACGTCTTGACTTTTAGGTAATACAGAATGATAACTTCCAAACATATAATTATCTTCTGTTTGTATTATAATCATCATATTATTTAGGTTTTTAGTTAATTGCCAAAATGTCTTTGAAGTTAAATCTTTTCCTTCAAAAATAATGTGTGCTTCACTCTTCCTACACCACTCTTTTAAATGAGAATAATATGGTGTAATTTCTCCAAAGTCATCATTTAATTTATTGAATTCTTTTGGTAATGGAAGTGGTCCGGGTAATTCAAATTCAGAAATATGATCTTTTGGTTTTTCGATAATTAAACAAAGTTCTTGACAAGGGTCTACGTTAGTTGTTTCATTTAATGGTTGTGAACATTCACATACCTTTTTTATAACTTCTTCAATTGTTTGTTTTTGGTTGTTAAGATAATCAACAATTGAAGATATTAATGATATTATTTCTAACTGAATTGCTTCTGTTGGAGAGCATTTGTTTGGGTTAATGACTTTTAATACATTTTGTTGAAGTATTTGGGTATGTTCACAAAGTAATTGAAATGAAGAACAAGACATTCAATTAAAAGTGTTTTTTTTTTTGTATTTTAAGTTCTTATAGTTTATTCTATTTAAAACAATAAGAAAAGTTTACATTTCTAAATCTTAGTCTTATATTTCTTGACTCTTTTAATTACTCAAATTTTTCATTCAGTCTTTTTGTGAGTCATAAAAAAAATTCTTCAGAATTACATGAAATATTTTATTCAAATAATATTTATTTCTAATAAAAAATACTCTTTTTTGTAAAAAAAAAAACACTTTATTCTCTTATTTAAATTTTAGAAGTTATATTTAAAAGAACAGAATGATGGAAGTGTTTTTTATGTGTTTAATTTCTAAAAACCTGTAAGATTATATCTGTCTTAATTATTTAATGTATGCGTTAAATTTATACTGACCATTCCTTAAGACAAAGCTTTAATTCTTTAAAATGGTTATTCAACCTACATATTAATTTCTGAGAAAAGAGTAAATTGTTTTTTTAAAGAAAGGAATTAAGAATAGTTGATAACACAGAACTAATTAAAGTCTAATAACCAATTAAGATAATTCTTAAACATTTTCTGGTTTAAATAAATATAAGGCATACAAAAAATAATTTCTTATGTTTGAGTAGGTACTGGAAGTAATTTTTTAAATTTTAAGTAAACTATTTTTTCTTTAAGAATTTAAAGAAATACAACTAATGCCTTATTGAATATAGGGATTAATTCAATAGTGAATTGTGTTTATTGGATTTAAAAAATTTTTACCTTATTATTTGGGATAATAATTGTCTGATAACTTTATAGATTTTGTATTTGTTTATGAAAGATAAAAGATTAACAAGATCAGAAATATAAACTTCTAATAACGCCACAATATTATTATAATAGTATTTAACAATGAAATTTTTTGTTGATAATTACCTTTTAATTTCTTTCAAAAATGATTTAAAAAAAATAGTTGAAGAACAATTTAAGATTTGTTGTTATTTAATAACTTCCATATTTTTAATGTTATTAACTGAATAAACATTTAAATTTCAATTTTTTATTAATTTGAAGTTTTTTAATAAATTTGAAATATAATAACTAATATTTATTATGTTTCATCAAAGTTAAAAAAAATAACAATAAATTGTCAAGTTTATATTACATAATAAAATCAAATAATAATATTTATTACGTTATTAATTATATACAAATACTGTTTAAGACAATCTTGTCTCAGTGATGTATTTCAATTTCATTAAACAGAATAAGAGAAATAAATTAGTTGAACTAACACAAACCTCTTTTTGATATGGTGCTTTGTTCATAACGACATTATTTTATAATTAAAAGACTCTAATATAAATAAAACATACAAAACTTAAAAACAAAAAATAATAGTTAAGTAGAGAATTTGTCTTGATAATTTTAAAAGGTTTATCATTTTCTATTCTTTTTTCATTTTATTATTATGAAAATAATTATAAAGAAATAATTTTGGTTATAGAAAATAAAAAAAGTTCAGTGTTATAATTTCTGGTTTGAAGTTAAATAAACAACTATTCTATTTCTTGTATCTTAGACATTTGTGTCATTAATTAAGATAGTTCCTATGCTTCTAATCAAGAAATTTTAAATTTCTTTTTCCCTTTTTGATTAAAAAATCAATTTTTTTCATATTTTTTGATGAACAAGAAAAAATAATAGGATATTATAATAGTTAATTCAACCAATTTCTTAATACCATTAAAACTAAAATTACATAAAAGAATGTATTTATCATAGACAGTACTTCTGCTTTTTACCTCTTTAATTTAAAAATAACGTCAGTAACTAAAAATAAAGTTTTACAAAAAAATATATATAACAAAAGTTTTCTATTTAATAAAAGGTAGTATTTAAAGAAACAAGAAATACTTACGTTATAAAAATTCTAAGTAGTTTTAATTGTGATGACGACATTACAAAGAAAAATATCTTTATTCATCTAATTCTCTGGTAATTAAGAAATATAAAGAAATAATGTTAGTTTTATAGTGGATATAAACCTATAATAATACCTTGATTACAAAAAATGTAGAAGGATGGAAGAGTAATAACTAATTATAAGAAATAATCAAAGGAAATACCATAGTAATAAAGAAAAAAATATCTAAGAAGGAAAAGATTTAAAAATTATTAACAACAAGAAGAAATTAAACAATCAAAAAATAAACAATTAAGACTTATCTACTTCAACTTTGGGAGTAAAAGACTTTGGATAACAGGATCATTTCTATGGAGAGTGCAAACACCATCAATTGATTCAAGACCAACAATATATTTGCTTACTTCAGTTCCCAAATGAGATATTCCTTCTTGATTAAATAAGAAATTACCTGTTAAAGAGGTTATTCCATAAATTGACTCAGCTTTTAAAGTCCCTTTTTTTCCAGTAGAAAGATGTGTATCGAAGTTATAACCAAGAACTTCTAAGATATCAGTCAAAATATGTAAAGAATCAACAATTCTATAATTTTCACATCTTCTTAAAGCAGTTTTTAAGGATGAGCCATTTGCTACTTCAGCATTAAGTCTTTCAGTAATTCTTCTTTCGATAAGTTCTTTAAATTGAATAGAATCAACTGGGCCATCAAGAGTTAAAATTCTAAAAAATGGTACAGTAACTAATGATTGTTTCTTATGGGCAGTAAAAGTAATATCATAAAATTTATTAAGAAGAGCTAATAAGACACTTTCTTGTTCACTTTGATAATTTCTAATTTCTCTAAAAGAATATAGACACTTGAATGCAGGGTGTTCTGCAACATTGCATTCATGTTTAATGGTGGCTTGCATTATAAACCAGAGTTTACAGCCCTTTTTAGTGCAATTTGAGAGTTTATATACCTATAGATCGACAATTATCAAATCCTTTCAAGTTCAATAGTAAAGAATCAATTCTTGATGATTTCTTCTTAATTTTTTCATTCTAGCTTTCTTTTAATACTTTAATAATTAATGGGGTTTGCTCTTTCTTGTTTAATTTCCCGATCTTTTATTCATTTTTATTCTATTTAATTAAGTACCCTAAATTTAGGTATTTTATATCATTTTTTTATTTTTTGTTATTCATTTTATTTCTTTAACTAACCCCTTTTCGATGGTTCTGTGGTAACAATTTCTCCTCTGAAGTTAATTTATTTATATATATATCCTCTTGATTTGAATTTTACTCTCCATTTACTTTTAGATTGATTTTTTTAAATACCATAATGACCAAATTGCCAAGAGATGAAACTTTAACCATAATACTATACTTCAATTTATTAATCCTTAAATTGTATTCCCTTAGAAGGGTTAAAACTCTCCTATCTTTGAATAAGCAGAGGTCTGTGTTTTTTTGGATTGACTAAACCGTTGTATCCAATTTGGTTTCAAAGTACCACTTTTTTTTAATAAAAAAGTATAAAAATTATATCAAAATTAAATTAAGTTAAGATATATAGAATAAAATAAAAATGTTTCAGAGAATAACTGAAAAAAGAACTATATGCAATCCTTCACTGATTGGCTGTCTAATGACATATTACTTTTAGCCATTTCAATAGAATTTATTTTTTAAAGAATTTATCCAACCAATTTCTTAAAAAATTGTTTAATTAAAAAATGAATCAAATGAAAACAAGTATTTAAGAGTGCCATGAAATAATTATATATCTTTTTTTTATAATTAAAAAACAACCTATAAAAATATTTTACTACTATAGCCAAACAATTATTGTCTATAATTTAAAGAAAATGTATATTTCTTGAGAACCACCATAACTGAGATAATAATAAAATTTTAATTAAAATAAAAATTATTATCTATTACTTTATCTTAAACAAAGTTGTTATTCTGCTCATTTTAATATAATACTGAAAAAAGATTGAATTTCATTTACAGATAATATTATAAATTATTTCGTATAAACAAATATCACTGACTATTATGCATGATTTATTCATTTTTTTTAAATGATAATGAAAAAAAAATTAAGAGGAATAAGTAGAATAATCATTATATTAGTGATTTTAAACCACCACACCAAACAAAAATTGGTGTATCTTTACACAATCAAATTATATCTCTTCTCCTTTTTGACTCTTAACAAAAATAGAATCTAATTGGTTTTCTATTTTTAATTCATCAAACAAATTATTTTTTTTGCTCAAAGTCTGTTGCTTCATCAAGTCATTTAAATATATTTATATTACTCTTTGAGGCTATCTGCATTATTATATGATAGTCTTTAGAAAATATTTGTAAAGGATAAAAATGAAGAGAAAAATATTACTATTCATTTGTTTAACAAATGTTATGTATATAAAATACTACAAAGTTCATAGAAGAGAATGTAGATAAGTATGTGAGACTAAAAAAATTCAAAAGAAGCAAAGAGTAGCTACATAAAAATAACATTTTTCTTCTTTTTTTTTATTTTTGTTATTTTTTAATAATTTTTACAAATAACAAAAATAAAAAAAGAGAAGAAACAAAAAGTATAACAATAAATAGGCATTGCCTATTTCAACAATGTAAATCTCCTAAAAATTAGTCATTAAAAACATAAATGAAAGGATTTATCGTTACTCTCTTTTTAATTATTATTGCTGTAAATGCTGTTCCAGAAAATTGTTTCATGTGTCTTGACTTAGTTCGAGAATTAGAGGAAAAAATTAAAGGTAATGATGCGGCAAAAATCACCCAGTTAGTTAACTTCCTTTGTAAATCTCAAGACTCAGAATCTCCTGCTGGAAAAGTATGTTCAGCTTTACTAGAAAAAGGCATCAACAATCTCCTTGAAATGATTATGGAAAAAATTCCAGTTGAAAAAATGTGCAAGTTAATGGATCAATGTTAATTCATTTCTTCTTATTCCTGTTCTTAATTCACACAATTTCATTGACTCAATTATTTCACCAAGTTTGGAAATAGTACCGTTTGTTTTCTAGTTCTTTTTTGTTTTTGTTTAGGAGGTTTTGGAGGGATAGAAGATGATTCTTTAGTATGGTTTAAATGGACAGTAGAACACAACAAATTTCTAAACTCACACTCCTTTTTTTCTTTGAGTTGATTGATTTGGATGTTCTTTGTTTGAATAGTTTGTTTTTTCGTGTTAATTTCATAGAGCATCTTCTCAATTTCTTTTTGAAGTGTCTGGACTTGTTGGTTTTTACTTTGAACTTTATTGAGAATTTCATTTTTCTGTTTCTCAAACTCATCTCGTTGTGTCTTTTGAGCATGTTCATTGTCAAGAACAATTGACTCGAGAGTGTTTTGTTTTTCTTTTAATGAATATTCAAATTGAGCCAAACGGTTAAGAGAGTCTAAAGCAAAGTCATTGACTCTATTGAGAATTGTAATAGACTCAATATCCAATGAAGACAATGGAACAAGAGAAGAATGAGGATAAACAGGAAATGAAAATGATGTGAGATTTGAAATATCAAATTTCATGACATTACTATCAATACTAATCTTACGAATGCTTTTTTCATTATCAACAATTGTTTGATGAGCCTTGATAATCTTTTCCATTTTTTTTTTTTTGAATTATAATACTCTTGACACAAATACAATTAACAAGATGTGTCTTTTCATCATAACATATGAAAAGATGAGATACAACAAGAATTGTATAACATCAACAAATCAATCCTTTAATCTTAAAATCATCCTACTCATTCAAACTCTTCGTATCATAACATTATATGAAATATCAACAGTAAAAGATATATCTATTAAATAAAATGGGAAGTTAATAACAAACAAAAGAAGAATAACCAAAAAAAATAAGAAATGTATAAAAGAATTTAAAGTATTGAATTTTTTTAGTCCCAAGACTTAAATATTGAAAAATAAGAACAAAACCAGAAGTACAAAATAATAAGAAATAAGTTAAAAGAAGAATGACAAACCGTACAATAAAATCAAAAAACTGTAATAATTTCTCAAAATGAAGTATTGTAAGAAAAAAAAACGATTCAAAAAATCATAAACAATTAATTAATTATTAATAGAAATAGCTTCTATTGTTTCTGATACATGTGAGAATATTCTTTTTATATCATCTTCAACTAGCAACTTGATTGAGTATATTTGGCTGAGATAGAATTAACAGTATTCCATAACATCCATCATGTTTTTTATTACAAGGTTTTTAATTTCTTTCTCGATGCCGATCTCAATTTTTAATTCTTTAATTAATTTATTACTTTCTTTATTCATTAATCCATTTATTGAGATTACTACTGGAATTATTTTGACATCTTTTAACTTTTCTATTTTCATTAGCCTATTCTTTAATTCATTATACTTATTTCTTTTCTTCCAATATTCTCCATTAATATTGTGATATTCAACAATAGTCATATCAAATAATAGACCAGTTTTGTTCTTTTTATCTAATACATATATGTCTGGTATTTTGTGGTATTGTCATTCAATTTTAGGCATTATTTGTTTGTTCAATATCATAGTGATGTCTTTATATTGAACACTGTTTCATATGGTGGTTTTTATATTGTTTATTTCCTGTGTATTTTCTTATTAATCAATATTATAATGCCAATATTGTCATGTTTTCCATTTGTGATTTTTTATGATAAATACAAGATAGTAGAATGTGTTCTACTGTAGCTATCTTGTCTTTACAAAGTGTGTAGTATTTTAATCTTTCATTTTTCATTATTTTTGCTTTCTTATACCCACAAAATATTGCTCCATCTTGCATTTTAGTTAATTGTAGAAATGCATTCTTTTTAATATTGATGGACTTCCATGCTTTCACTGTAATAGTTTTATCTACTCCTTTTGACTCGAACCATCTTCTAAAATATCCACTTGTTTGATGACACTTCCATTTTTTGATGTATTTGTCATTAATTTTTTTATTTCTACTACTACTTCTTTTTCTTTTTTCTTTTCAATAAATTCATTTATTATTTCTTCTATTTTTGTTTCATTGATTTTATGAATTATTGTTTTTAATTCTATTCCATATTCCCTTTTTACTATACCATCTATCTAATATGTTATTTCCTATTTCACTTTCTCTGGTACAGTAGTACATTCCTGTTCTAATTATTTCATTAACATATTCTTCATTTATGTTTATTAATCATTCATTTCTTCTATAATAACATACAACCTATCTTTGGAGTTTCACCATTGTATTTTGCCTTTCTGAAGAAAATCTAAATAATAAATAAAACAAAGAAATTACTCACTTTAATGATATATTATGTGATTGATATCAATTGATCAATCAATAAATGACACTTCTATTACCACTTAATCATTATATTTTTAATCATTATTTCTTTATTATATCCTTTTCCAATGCAGGAAATATCACAAATTTTAATGTAATTGATATGGTAATTCCTTTGGTTATTGTAAAGAAAATCAAACAAGACATAGAAATTCAATGTCATACAATAAAAAAAAAGAAATGTCAATAGCAATAAATGGCATAACAATTATAATAATAATGGTAAACGATACACCAAGGAAAAAGTGATTATAAGACGAAAGATACAAAGAAAAACAAATAAAAAACAAGATAAATAAAATAATAATAAAAGTTATACAAATAATAAATATAATTGAATAACAATAAATGATAAACAAGAAAGAATAAAAAGAATAACAAGTGAATTGAACAAAGGAGAGTATGAAGAAATACTCAAAAAGTATGAAGGTAAAAGAAAAAGATGGTATGATATTCTTCAAGAAGTATATTCAATCAGAAAGAAAAGATAATTGAAAAAATAAAGAAAAAATTAAAGAAAATACAAAAGACTGTGAAGAAAAAGACATTAAAGCGATTGAAGAAGAAATTAAAAACAAAAAGCCAAATAAAGAAATGAATGAAAGATGTAAAATTGCAAGAATAATAAATAACAAAGAAAATACAAGAAGAAATACAACAAAACAAAGAAGAAAATGATAAAGAAGAAATACTCACACTTCAAAACCAAATTAAAGAATTAAAGGAAAAAGTTAAAGAATTCAGTATGGAAAAAATGGAAGAAGAACAAGTCATTTCAGAAGAAATGATAGAAAAAGAAAAGGAAATAATTAGAAAAGAAAATGAGAAAGAAATGACAGAGATGAAAATACAAAATAAAAAGATTCAAAAGAATTACAATGAAATGAAGAAGAATCAAAAGTATCAGAAGAAAACACAGAACTAGAAGAGAAAATAAATGTAATTCCAGAAATAAGAAAATTATATCATTTAATCATAGAAGCTTAATAAAAATGATACAAAAGAAAGAATAATGATACTAGTAATAAGGAAAAAGGAAATAAATAATAAAGTGAAAAGCGAATGTAATATTTAACTCAGAAATTTAATAAAAGCAACGTTGATGTATAAATTTAAGAATATTATTAACCCCTTTTAATTATCTTAATTTAAGTATGTAAACCTTAAATCATTGTATTATGACTTATTGAGTCTTTCATTTAATACATAATTTTTCTTGCATATTATATAAGGCACATGAATAAAACATATAAATTAAAACTTATCAATAACAATCATTATTAAAAAGAATAAAAACCATTAGAAGAAAACAAAATAACCACTAACAACCAATTAGAATCGCTTAATTGAGAACGTAGGCGATTTTTTGATGAGTAGACTTCTTTCCTTTAATTCCTTCAGTTGGTTTAGCAACTTTCTTTTCTTTTTCAGTTAAAATAAGTTCAATATGGCATGGACTGCTTGAGAAGGAGTTAATGCTTCCGTGTGCTCTGTAAAGTCTTCTTCTTGATGAACGAGCTTCTTGAACAGCAATGTGGCTGACAGTTAAAAGAGCAGTATTAAGTCCTTTTGCTTTAGCATTGTCAACAGCATTCTTAAGAAGTTTAAGAATGAATTGTGCTGATTTGACTGGCCATCTTCCAAATGCACAATTCAATCCTTTGCATTGAGCCTTACGTCCAACTCCACCATTGTGTTTTCTGAATGGAACAATTTCTTTCTTAATGATAACGTTTTTAAGGAATTCTTGAGCACGAGCAACTTTCATTCCTCTGATGGCATCTGCAGTTTCGTAAGTGTTCTTGAAATGAACCTTAAGGTTATCACCACGTGCTTGAGCGGCTTTTGCTACATTAACTGGTTTAGCGCAATACTTGACCATTTCTACTACAAGTGGTGTTTACAGATATTTCAGTTCTTTTGTTCCACCCTAAGGGTTCTTATTTATTTCTTTAGTTAATTTATTATTTAAATTTAAAATTTGTTTTTCTTTTTTATGTCTTTATTATTTATTTCTTTTTGGAAATATGTTATCTTTAAATAATAATAAATAAGAATGAATAAAAACAATTACATTTAATCAAAAGTCTTTTAATTTGCTTAACAAAAAAATGGTGTCAATAATTAATTATAAAAGGATGATGTACAAAAGCTTATTAGAGGTATAATCAATTTCTCAAAGAAATATAGTAAAATTTAGTATGAAATTAGTTAATTAATAGTAAATAGGGTTAATAGATAAAAAGAACTTAAAAAAGGTTTTGAAGTAGAGAATGCCAGCACAAAAAGGAAAGAAAGCAAAAGTAACAAAAAAAGTAAGTAAGAAACAAGTCAACAAAGTCCCACATGGAGAAAAGATTAATTATGATGATATGGATGAGGAAGAACTTCTTAAACAACTTGCAGCAGAAAATGAAGCAAGAGAAGCTGAAAGAAAAAAAGAAGAAGAAGAAAAGAAACCAGAAGAAAAAAAAGAAGAAGAAAAGAAACCCGAACCTAAAAAGGAAGTTAAAAAAGTAGTTAAGAAAAAAATTTCACCTGCTGAATTAGCTCGAAAGAAAGCATTAGAAAAATTAAAGAAAGATAAAGAAGAAGAAGAAAGACTTCAAAAAGAAGAAGAAGAAAGAGAAAAGGCAGAAGCAGAAGCTTTAAGAAAATATAAAGAAGAAGAGGAAAAAAGAAAGATTGAAGAAGAGAAAAGAAAAGCTGAAGAGAAATTAAAGAAAAAAGAAAACAGAAAAAAATTACTTGAAAATGAAAAAGAAAAAAGAAGACTTAAATATTTGGCATCTAATTCTCATGTTATTGGATTAGAAAATCCAGAGTTAGTAGCTCAAGAACGAGAAGAAAAAGAGCTTGAAGAAAAAAAGATTGATGATATGAAAGAGAAAAAGAAGTATCAAAAGAAAAAACCAAAAACTCAAAAACAAGAAGAAGTTGTTACAGAGGAACCACAAGAAGAGGAAATTAAAGAAGAGGAAGATATGGAAAATATGGATTGGGAACAAATGATGGATTTAGAAGAGCAAAAAGAACAAGACATTAAAAATAAACAAGAACAAAAGAAAAGAATTGAAGAAGAACGAGCAGCAGAAAAGAAAAGAAAGGAAGAAGAAGAAAAACTTAAAAAAGAACAAGAAGAAATGGAAAAAATAAAACCAAAATACAGATCACCTATTTGTTGTGTATTAGGACATGTAGATACTGGTAAAACTAAGATTCTTGATAGAATGAGAAGAACTAATGTTCAAAGAGGTGAGGCTGGAGGAATTACTCAACAAATAGGATCTACATTCTTCCCATTAGATTCAATTGAAAAAATGACAGAAAAAATGAAAGATAAAACCAAATTAAAATTTAAAATTCCAGGGCTGTTGGTTATGGATACACCAGGTCATGAAGCTTTCAACAATTTAAGAAGTAGAGGAACTAGTTTATGTGATATTGCTGTTTTAGTTGTTGATTTAATGCATGGATTAGAACCACAAACAATTGAATCTATTAATTTATTGAAACAAAAGAATACACCTTTTGTAGTTGCATTAAATAAGATTGATAGATGTTATCAATGGAAAGAAACTGATGGAATGCCATTTAAAGAGACATTTGCAAAACAAAATGAAGATACAAAACAAGAATTTGAAAATAGATTAAAATCTACTATTGCAGATTTTGCAGCACAAGGAATTAATGCATGTCTTTATTATGATAATAAAGATATTAAAGAATATGTTTCATTAGTACCAACATCTGCTATTACTGGAGAAGGTATTCCAGACCTTGTTGCTGTATTAATTGCTATGACACAACGATTAATGTTAGAAAAATTAACACCAACTGATTCTCTTCAAGCTACTATTATGGAAGTTAAAACTACAGAAGGACATGGTACAACTATTGATGTTATTTTGGTTAATGGATTTTTAAAGAGAGGAGATAGAATTGTTGTATGTGGAATGAATGGACCAATTGTTACACAAATTCGTGCTTTATTATTACCACAACCTATGAAAGATTTAAGAGTAAAAACTCCTTATATTGTACAAGATGTTGTTTGTGCTGCACAAGGTGTAAAGATCAGTGCCCAAGATCTTGATGGTGCAATTGCAGGTTCATCTATTGCAGTTTGTAATAATGATGAAGAACTTGAAGAAGTTAAAAAAGAAGTACAATCCGAATTTGAAAAATTCCAAGTTAGTGTTAGTGAGAAGGAGGGTGTATTTGTACAAGCATCATCACTTGGATCACTTGAAGCATTGTTAAAATTCCTTAAAGATTCTAAAATTCCAGTTTCAGGAGTTGGTTTAGGACCAATTTTCAAGAAAGATGTTATGAAAACATTAATTATGAAAGAGAAAAATCCAGACTATGCTATTATTATGGCATTTGATGTTACAGTAGATAAGGAAGCTAGAGACTATGCTGCAGAAGAAGGTATTCTTATATTTACTGCAAATATTATTTATCATCTATTTGATCAATTCACTGAACACATGAAAAAACTTGAAGAACAAAAAAGAATTGCAGCTGAAAATGCTGGAATTGTTGTATGGCCATGTATTGCAGAAATATTACCACAATATGTGTTTAATGATAGAAATCCAATTATTTGTGGTGTAAAAGTATTAGAAGGAACAATGAAAGTTGGATGTCCAATTACATTACCATCAAGAAATAATATGGACCTTGGAAGAGTTACAGGTATTGAATTGAATAATAAACCAGTTGAAGTTGGAAAAACTGGTGAAGAGGTTTGTATTAAAATTGAACCATTCTCACCATCAAGTGTGTTTACATATAAAAAACATTTTGATTCAAAAGATAAGTTGTATTCAAAAATATCAAGAGAATCTTTAGATTTATTAAAACTTCGATATGGAAAAGAGTTAACTCAAGATGACATTCAATTATTAGTTAGATTAAAGAAAATGTTCAACATCTTTTAAATGAACTTTTTCAATATTTATTTTTTTTTTTTTCAAAAAGAAAGGAACTTTTAATTATGAAAAACACTTCAAAAAGTAAGAAATGGGACAAGAAGTTACTAAACCTCAAATAAAAAATGTTGTTCCAAAAGAAATCATTGAAGCATTAAAGAGAAATAAATTACCAGAAAAAGAGTTTATACAAAAGATTGAAACACCAAATATATTAATGCCAATCTTATTTGAATATTTCTTTAAAAGAAAAGCATTCATTGAAGAACGACAGGAAAAATTATTAGTTAAAATGGAACGAGTTGAAAAAATGAATAAATTGTGTTTAGGAATGGCTGTTGAAGCACCTAAAAAAATGAGTGGAATGGTTGAGTTACCAAATAAAGTAAAACAAGCATTAGACTCATTAAAGCTAATAGAAAAACGAGTTAGTATAATACAAGAACATACTAAACAAATAAAAGTAACACTTATGTTTATAAAGAAGAATGTATTACAATAAATAAAAATTAATAAATTCTTTTATTGTTCCATTGGTTCCATTTCATCTTCACTATCATCTTCATCCATATTTTTTTGTTTCTTCATTAAACCATCTACTCCTAATGCACTTCTAATTTGATTTTTGATTTCTGGATTTAATTGTATTTCTTCCATTTGATTATCATTTTCTGTTTCATTTGACTGAATAGTTCCATCAGCAGAAAAAGATATAACACGACCAAGTTCTTCTGGTTTTTCTTCAATCATCTCAATATGTTCTTCTTTATCCCAATAACATGGGAATAATGTTACTCTTGGCTCTGAAAGTGTTCTAGTAATCTTTTCTGGAACAAGCATTTCTCGTTTAACAACATCAATAGTAGGGTCAATGCCTTCAAATTCATTATTAACATAATACCCAATTCTACAAAACTCTTTATCCTTATAAGAAGCAGAAATTAATATTAAAGTATTTCCTAATATCTCATCATCTGGTAATTTACTCATATCAATTGGTCCTGTAGTAATAGTAAACTTATTTAACCCAACGCTTAATGGACCAACAGCAATGTCTTCTAATATTTGGTCATATTCATTTGAAAAAGAAGACCCAACATAAATAACTTTAATCCCAATATCTTCTTGTAATTGTTCACTAACATTTATATATATTTCAAAGCTATATCCATCGTTCATTGTAGATGGGTTTGGAAAAAGGGAGTTGATTTTAGTTAATGATGCCATTTAATGAATTTAAAAGTAATTATTTTTTTGAGTTTTTTCTTACAAAAAAAAATATAAAAATTTTATTTATTTGTTATGTATAACAATATATTATTCATTTTGTAATAACACAAGAAGTCTAACAACTGGGTATTTTGTTGTTGGCTTAAAGAAATCTACTGTTGGATATTCTGATTTCATTCTTTCATTGTCCCAAGTTATAATGTTTGAACTAAACCTCTTTGTCACCTTCAATCCAAAAAGACCATGAACTCCAAAGATAAACTTATTTCTTTTATTGAAAAGAAGTGTATCACAAATGGATTTGTGAGTATGACAAATGAAATTAGATTGGTCTACAAATTCAATAATAGAAAAACTGTCTACATGAAACCACTCATCTAAAAAGAGACTATTCACATAAAATCCAATTGGCTTCATTCCTTCAACAAAGACTAAAAAGAACATGTTTTTTTTCTTATAAAGTGATTTATATAAATAATTCTTTGAAAACCCAAATATATCAGAGTCAAATAAAACTGTAACATTTTCAGAGTTAAAAGAAAAAGGAAGTTGTTCCATTACTTAAAAACTTTTGTTTTTATTTAGTCTTTTTTTATTTTAAATTAAAATGAACAGTTAGCAAAGGAAGATAGTTAATAAAATTATAGTTATTATAGTATTTTCTAATTATTTATTAATATATTTCTTATTTTTTTCTTTTAATTTTTTGTTATTTATATTTTGATTATTCATTTTAAAAATAAATTATTTTGAAACATTTATTAATGAAATTAAATACAAGAATATGGAAAGAGAATAATTTAAAATAGAAAATGAATAAAAATAATATCAACGAAAATAATTAGTATTGTAAAAGATAAAATGATTGAAACATTATCTATGTTAGTTCATTGATTAAATGTCATTTTATTCATTAATAGATTTGAACTAATATAATTTGACTTGAAATTGACATATAAATATTATCAGAAGTATTTAATATAAAAGAAATAGTTTAAATAATAATTCAAGAATGATGAGTTAGGAAATAAATGATAATATTAACACCTAAAATGTTAAATAATATTTCAAACATAAAATAATAATGAATAATGAATAATGATAAATATAAAATAAAGAATAAATGATTAACAAATAAAAATAGCAACCAAAATCAATAAATATAAAAAGCAACTATAAAAAAGGATATGTACTATTGAAAGAACCAATAAAATAGAATTTAGTATAATAAATTAATGTCAAACAAATATAAAATTCAATACATTCAAAGAATAAAATAAATATGTAATAAAATAATAAAATAATGAATATTCATTAACAATTCAACAGTCATTAAAATAAATTAATGACAATAATATTTAATCTAAATGCATTATTTATAAATTAATTTGATAATATTGTATATATAATAATAATAAAATTCTTTTCAAATTTGTACATTATTTTTCTCATTCATTGTTATTGCATTGGTATAAGTTACTTTTTTTAAATGAGCTTAATATTCTTTTTCAGTTGTTATGAAAAAGAATAGGTTATTACTTCTTGTCTTTAATTATAAGTCACTACATACTTTAAATACTGAAACAACTTTGTGTTTCAAGTATAATACTTATGGGTAATATATAAGTTAAGTATTGGATTATTTGAACCATAAACTATTTCTATATCACAACTGGTATACCTGAAAATATTTTGGTTCAACTAAGATTATTTTACGAAAGTGATACTAAAAAAAAAAAGAAATGATATTCAAAGGATTTAAAGAAAAATGATATATATTTCTTTATAAAAAATCATATAAACAAACTCCCCAATTAATTCAGTTTGTACTTAAAAAAAGATAAAAAAACAAAAACATTCTATGATTGTACAATTTTTACAAATTTCTCCTATTTAAAGAAACAAAAAGAATGTTTTAAATCACAAAAAATAAAATTCCAAGCATTATGGAAAAAAATAATTAAAAATAAATAAACTTGGAACTGAACTATTAAAAAAATTAAAGAGAAAAAATGAATCAACGACCAAGCACATTTCAACGTGAAACAACAATTAAATTAATTCTCATAGGAGAGTCTGGAGTTGGTAAAACAAGTTTGTTGTTACAGTTTTCTGATGAGAAGTTTTCAAAAGAAGTAACAACAACTGTTGGGATTGACTTTAGAATGAAAAGAATCGAGTGCAATGGGTCTCCATATAAATTACAAATATGGGATACTGGTTTGTTTTTTTGATTAATGTAATGGATTTAATTTAATACTCAGATATTGTTAGCTGGACAAGAACGATTTAGAACTATTGTTGCTTCATATTACAGAGGTGTTCTTGGTATTGCAATGATTTATGACGTTACATCAAAAGATTCTTTTGACAATATTGCATATTGGTCAAAGAATGTTGAAGAAAATGCTGATGAAGGAGTTAACTTAATATTAATTGGTAATAAAAGTGATCTTGAACAAAATAGAGTAATTTCTACTGAACAAGGCCAAGAGCTTGCTGATAAATTAGGTATTCCTTTCTTAGAAACATCTGCTGCTAGTAATAGTAATGTCAAAAAAATGTTTATGACTCTTGTTGAAGATATTCTTAATGGAAGAAGCCAAGGAAGTAATATCCGTTCTACTCAAAGAGTTGCAGTTTCAAAAACTAATGAATCTTCACAAGAAGGTCAAAGTGGCTGTTGTTAATTGACTAATTCTTTCATTATTCTATTTAAAAAAAGAAAGACAAACATTATAAATTGAAATAAAAAGAAAATAATATAAACAAAAGATAAAAGAAGAATTACATAAAATAAATTACTATTTAATAATTTAACACTGAAAATAATTACTTATCTAAATAATTAGTAATGTATTTTAAAAAATAAATAAATAAATGAATAAAATAATGTTAAAAGAAATAAAAAATACAAAGGAGAGTAGTCTGAATTGAGTTAACCTTATAAAGGCCCTTACATATCCCACTGATGCTTAATGGTCCTCTACCCATCCCAAATCCATGAAACTATTATAAAAATAATTTACTCGGATGAATTTCTATTAAGTAGTGTAAGCTTTCGCCCACCCCAATCCTATTGGGCAATCGGACATCCTCAGACCTTCCCCAGGGTAAAAGATAGTAAAAATGAAACCACCTCTCCCCGAAATGTAAGCTTCCCTTGTATATATTTTTAAGATTGTATTATTTCCTTTTATAGTTGAAGGGTTTTATAAAATTCTTATTTGAAGTAAATGTTTTTACTTTAAGAATAAAGAAAATTATAAAAATATAATAATAAATTAATTACTTTTAATAAAAAGCAATTCAAAGAATTAAAAAAAAAATATGAGTTTTTTATAATATCAAAAATTAACAATTATATTAGTAAAAGTACTATTGTAAATATCATATAACTTAAAACTGAAATTGTTGAACTTCGAGAATTATATGATATTTCTTTTACACATTTACCTGATGAACAAATAAGTCCATTCCTACAAGACCCACATCTTGGAAAACACCCACGAGAGAATAATGGATTAATTGTATTAGAGTCAGTACATTCAGTGTATTGACAATCAAAAGACTCAACACCACATTCTGTTACATTATTTTGTTTTTTTGGAATAAGAGTAATATTTTTAACATCAAATATTGTTCCTGGCACTGTTACAAATGTGAGAGCAATAACATTTAAATAACCATAACAATGCTTTGGGATTGAAAGTTTTACTTTAATAAAATAATGAGTTTCATCTTTTTTTATATTTAATACTTCAACTGGAATATTTGTATTACAAACAAAAACAGCATCAAGAGCACTTTTCCCAAATTGATTTCCATGTCCTAATGTGGAAAAAGCATATTTAGGTAAATTACCTTCAACTTCCATTTCCACTATTACTAATGAAAAAAGTTCATACATTTTAATTACTGTTGGATATCCAAATCCAAGTGTTGTTCTTGCATTTTCAGCAACAAAATGGATTGATTGATCTGTATCATTTAATCGTTTTATTGAATAATCCATATTAACTTGATTAAATATCCATTTAAAAAAGGAACTTTGCTCTCTTGAAGTAGAATTTATATAAACTTGTGTTGAAGGCATAAATGGACATGAATTTACTTTTCTATGAGTAAATTGTTCTTTAGCAACATATAAACCAATTAAATTAAGGTTAACATCATTAACATTACATATTCTTCCATCTACTGCAATCAATTTTATATTAACAGTATTGTCTTGTAGTGGAACAATAAAATGACTATTAGGTAGTGATAGATAGTCATTATCATCAATAATTATTTTCTCTATTACTACAGCACTATTTAATATTTGTAATTCTACAGAAGTTTCATTTTTCTTAAGAGTATAAAGAAAAGGTGGATAATGAAAATTACAATCAGCTTGTTTAACAGTTACTTGACTGAACACATAATTAGATTCTGAAGTTGAAGTTGATATTAATTTAAATAGACCATCTTTAACTATAATCATTCTTGAAAGGTCATCTTTTGTATAAGGACATCCTTGTTTAACAGAAAAGGTACCAACAATAATACAATTAAATGGTGATTGAGAAGGTCCTGTTAATTCTAAACATTCTCCACATCTTGATGTTGAATGAGATACTTTATGAATCATTGATACACCTTCATAAATCCAACATTCCATCCCAAAATTATGTCCAATAGATTCTTTTTGATAGTCTGGAATGTCTTTCATACAATCTTCATTTATAACTATATATTGTCCAATTCCTGTAAGTTCAGAAATATGTTTCTCATTTGAGATGAAGAAATGGCTCTAAAGTAATGTTAATTTGATTAACTTTGTTTTTTTATTAATGTTAAAGAACAAACCATACATGGATCATTTTGAGCGGAGACTTCACTCAAAAAAAGATAAAGTGTAATAATATATAATGTGAACATAGACTAAATACTATCAGTTATTAAAATGAATTAAGTTCTTTTTAGTTCTATGTGGTTTAGTATTTCTTATTTTTAAAATCTCTAAACATTGTTTTTCTTACTAAATCCATTTGACGAATTGTATCTTAACCCTTACTAAAATAAGAGTTTTGTTTCAATCGGTTAAATCACTCAGATATTTCATAAATTATTATGAGAAAATGTTAATTCTAAACCCTCGTTTATGAGTCGTATCCTTTTATTATTTATTGAGATAATTGTCTCTCTTCTTAGGGGATAGTTTGTTCAGTCTTTAAAAATTTTCTTTCATTCAGCGTCATCATTTTTTAAATATATCTTATTAAAACTATTTTTAATTTGTTCAATTACCTCAAAAAATAAGAAAATGTTCATTTTTTTTTCTTCTAAAAATATAAAATAACTTTCATTTTCTTTTTTGTCACGATAGAATTACTTTAATTATTTTTGTTTCACCTTCATTTGTTTTTATAACCTTTTGAATCTTTGTTAAGATTAAATGGTTCAGAGTCAAAAAAAGAGTTGAGTAATTATAACAAAAGCTTTGTTAATAAAACTATTTCAGAGAAAATTGGTAGTCATAATTATTTCAACACCACTCACAAAATAGTCTTACCAAATCGGATGTTGAGACTGGAAGTTCTGGACTAATTGTATGAAGAAGATAGTTTTATGATTTTTACGTTTTGTAATGTTTTTTTTTTTGATGTTTAATCTTTTTTATCAATGTTGATTTGTTTATAACTGTATTTAATGTCTGAACGAAATATGAAAAATTTAAACAAACTAAGATCAAAAATACTTCGGTTGAAATTGAATAATATAAATAATTTATTAAATCAATTAGAATCTTAACTATAATCTTTTTTAAATATATTATTTACTTTTACTAATCAATAATAATTTTTACAACCTATTTACAAGGAAAAAAGAATCAGCTTTATTTCTTTAAGACTGAAATTTTTCTGAGCAATATTATTTTTATACAAACTATATCTTACAATTTTTTTCTTTCAATAATAATGACTTGGTATGGATGAATAAAAATTAAGGTTTATCTGGTTAATTTTTCTTTTCATTGAATAAAAACACTATAAATCTATGACTAAATAGTTTATTTGTAGTTATTTTTATTGTCACCATTTTTTATTTTTTTTGAATGAAATTTTATTTTTGATAGTAATTAGTTAATGAATCATATAGTCAGTTATATTTAACTATAATACCATATTTTATATGTTTGCTTATTATTATATCATTGCTAAAAAGATAATTTCTAATGAAGAAATAATATTTGGAAGTACTAAATGTTTTTTATGGATTATTCGTTGTTTAACTAAAATATATTTTTGTGTAATAACCCATATTTAGTTTTTATTTATTATCCATAAAATATTAATTCCATTAAATACTTTATTAAACTGTTTTTCTAAATAAACTAATTTTTTTATAAGTCAAAAATAAAAAAATTTAAAATTTTATTTGTGTTATTTACAAAAAAAATGAATTAAAGGAATAACTCTAATTTTAATGTTTTTTTTTATAATACCAATTTTTAAAAAATTAACAATTAACAATTACTCTATCATAATTAGTATTTATTAGTCTGTAAAAATTTAATAGTATTTATAACTACTAACAGTTAGCTTTAACCATAAAACAATAAGTTATTTAAAATTTTATTATGTTTTATGTTGATGATATATTTTTCTAAAAATAGTTTGCTTTTTTAGATATTAAAAAGAATAATTAATTTTATGTCATAGTTTATTGAAATATAAATGAGTTGGTTCTTAATTCATTTTAAACAATGTCATTATTTTTACATAAAGACTCTGATTTATTTATATAAAACAATTTATATTTTTGAAATTAGATAATTACATATTATACTGTTTATTTATTTTCTTATTAAAATTTACTATATTATTAAATTCTATTTGTACATATTTAAAAATATCTTTCCTTCTTGTATTTTATCATTCAACGAAAATGATACAAAATTTATATCATCATTTTTTATTCATTCCCTCACTTATTTTTTCTTTACTAATCAATATAATTAATTTATTTCTATACATATTTTTGAATTGAGTCTTATAACCTTGTTTGAATAAATTCAATTCATTGCAATTTCATTGTAATGTTATTTGATAATATTATTTTTTTATGAAATTAAATAACTACAACCATTTTTATATTTCATTCATTTTTACTAATCAAAGACAAAAAATAACTCTTCTTATTACATCATTTCTAACTCTTTTATTTTGTAAAATTTATGTAAATATATGAGTAATTCTAACTCTTTTATTATAAGCATTATCGAATAGTAACTCTATTACTAAATGAATCTATTAAATTAATTATTAATTCTCCTTGAAGATTATGAACCTATTATATTTGTTTTTTTTTCTAAATATATTATAATATTGTTTATTATATAAACATAAAAGTCTTGTATTTGTTAAATAATTATTAAGTTTTATTGTTTAAGTATCAATATTATAATAACATTGAAAATCAATAAAAATATAGCTGAATTAAATAAAGCACTTTATAATATAATCAGTCATTGACTACATGACAAAAAATATATCAACAATAATTGAACTGTCTTTCTAAATAATTATTGTTAATTATTGTCTAAATATTTAAGTTGTTGTCAAAATGGTATGGTATAGTCTTGAAAATTATTAATTAGAGTATTAGACTATAACAACTGTTAAACCGTTCTCAATACTATTGTTCTCTATAATAATAACTAAAAAGTCTTAAATAAATAAAAATAACTATGAAACAAAAAATAGAATAGTCAAACGAAATGACAAAGTATAACAACGTCATATATTTATGTTTACAATAATTATATAATTAAAATATGTTGAGTTGTTCATAGAATAATTGATATTCTTTATTTTACACTCATTGGGTATTTTTTAACATTAAAGAAAAAGGAATAAATGTTCATTTTTTTTTTAAATTCTCTTAAATAAATACTAAAGCTGAGTTTAGCTGTGGTAATACTAACAAAGAACATATTCTTGTAGTTGATCTATTTTCATTTAAAAAAAGTTAATTAAATAAAATTTATTTAATCTGACTTTCAAATCTCATCACTAGTTTAATTAACAATTATTGAAAATAATACTAAGAAAGGAACAAGCTATCATTGAGTCTAAACATAATTAAATAAAAAAAAACGAAATAACATTATTTTTTAAAAGAAACCAACGAAATGTAAAAATGATGTTTTTGTTTTTGCATGAACTCGAAAACGGCGTTGCAATCATCTACATTCTTCTATTTTTTTAATAAAGAAAAGAACCAATAAAAAGGGTAGAAAAAAGATTAAAAATCAAGGAAATCAAGCAAACAACTCTTCAGGAAATTACTTGGATTTTTCAGGAATAAAACCCTTAGATTATTATTGTATGAAAGCCATTAACAAATTTAACATTGTATGAACTGTGTCGCCATCACTAAAAAGTTATTTGTTTTCCACCACACATGGAAGCACCGTACAATCCTTTTAACAGACATAACGAAAGTCCTCCGTCACAAAAATCTCCTTTACTACCACAAAATGTCTCTCCTCCTACTCCTTTATCAAACGGTATAATTCACACATTTGATTTTACTGAACTTGAAAAAATGGATTTAGAAGAGTTTGACAGTTATATTGAAACTGTAAGAATGAAAGAAAGAATAACAGGTGATGATGAAGAAAAATTAAGAAAACTTAGAAGAAGAATCCAGAATAGATGGTCTTCAAAAATGTGCCGAGACAAGAAAAGAGATAAAATGAATGAATTAAAAGAAGAATTATCATTATTTAAACAAAAATGTGAACAACTTGAAGAAGAAAATAAGAAATTAAAAGAACTAGTGTCAGCAAATATAAGTGAAAATACCATTCAAACTGAAAAATCGACACTTGATTTTAATAATTAAAAATCAATTTATTTTAAATTTTACTCATAATGATTTTATTTCAAAAAATTTTTAATTAAGTAACAAAAAACAATACCAAAAATAAATTTCTGTTATATAACTCAATTCTTAATTTGTTTCTTGAGTTCTTCAATTTCTTTATCCTGTTCTTCTAATGCCCTCAATAAATGTTTTATTCTATACTCTAAACGAGCATTTTGATCTTTTAATTTATCTAATTCTTCTGATTTTGGTTCTTGATTCTTTTTCATTTCTTCAGCTAATGTAGCACGAATTTCAGTAAGCTGACGAACTAATTCTTCTTTCGTCATATTAATATCTGACATAATGATCAATGGAATATAATAATTTTAGTTCATTAGAAGAGTAAGTTCTCAACTAGAAATTGGTCATCGAATCAGGGTTTTTATTTTCTTCATCTTTCTGATTTAATGAATGTGTTATACATAACATATATAAAAGATTAAACAATAAAAATGTATTTGTTTTGTGAGAATGTCTTTTACTACCACATTAATAAAACATAAACCAATGATCAATATTAATATTAATGATATTACTAACAACACTTTTATTAAACCACAAAGTGTTATTAGAAATAAAATACAATTGATCCTTCAAAAAAATAGAAAAATTATCAAAAGAAAAAAAAAGAGAGTTGATAATTTTATTATTGAAAAAAAAGGACAAACTGTAGTAATAGTAGAGTTATTGAATTCTAGTTTGAACAGATAGAGAAAGAGTTAGGTTCATTAAAGATTTTGGTTACATTTGTTAAATAATAAGTGAAATAAATAAAAAATAAATAAAAAATAGTTTAATAAAATTATTAGTTGGTTTCTCTCAGGTGGTAGTAAAAAGAAAAAAATAGAACAAAAAGAAGTATTAGAACTTAAATCTCATAATAGTTTTAATGGGAAATACTCTTATCAATGTCGGTCATGAACAGGTCCTTGTAGATAGAAAACTAGGACAAGGAGGATTTTCACAAGTTTATCTTGTCCATTCTCAAATAAGTAATAGAGAATATGCAATGAAAGTTATGTATTATGGTGACCAAAATGATTTAAAACGGATTCAACAAGAAATAAATGTACATAAAGCGTTATGTAAAAACGAATTTATTGTACCATTGATTGATAGTGCTATCTATAGTGAACCAGAAAAAAAAGTAGTATTATTGATGGATTATTGTCCTGTTTCTACAATTAATGTATTAGAAAGAACTTATCCAAATCCAATAAAAGAAGAAGCTGTTTTAAGAATGTTTTATCAAATTTGTCATGCTGTTGCTTTTATGCATTCACAAAATCCACCATTGTGTCATAGAGACTTAAAAGTAGAAAATGTATTATTTAAAAATAAAAAGTTCTTATTAACTGATTTCGGTAGTGTTGTACCAGAAAGTAAATTTTATAATCGAACTAAAGGAGATTGTCCTATAATTGATGAGAATATTCAAAAATATACTACATTAGCTTATCGATCACCAGAAATGATTAATCTTTATGACTATAAACCAATTGGAAGAAAGGCTGATGTTTGGGCATTAGGATGTATATTATATAAAATTTGTTACTTCGATACTCCATTTGAAGAATCTCCAATGAGAATTCAATTTTGTAAATACTCTATTCCAAATAATTATTATTCTAAGAAAGTGACTCAATTCTTTGAAAAGATCTTTGTTATTGATCCTTTTGAACGTATTAACACTTTTCAACTTATGGATATGATAGCTAAAGAAGTTAACTTACCAAATCCTTATGCCAACTTAATGGATCAATCTGATCCTGTTGCTTCTAGTGCTCCTTCACCATCTCCAAATCCTGTTCAACCTCAAGAAGAAACGTTGAAACCACAAGTATCAACTTCAAGTTCTGCTGGATTATTCTGGGATAATTTTAAAGACATTCCTACACAATCTGATGATTCTTTAAAACAAAAGCCATCTATTCTTCAACCAAAAACATCTGGGGAAAGTCAAACATCTTCTTCAATAACCCATTCAACTAATTCAGTTAATAATAGCAGTTCAAATATTTCACCATCACTTAACAAGTCAACAGATTTATTTTCCTTTGATGAATATCCAAAGAAGTCATATACCCCAATGACTACTTCAACAGATTTATTCTCATTTAATCAACCAAGTAATACTACTGTTTCTCAATCACCTAAACCATCATCTTCTGCTTCATTATTTGACTTTGGAACACCTTCAACAAAACAAACAACTATTGTTATGACTAGTAATTCATCTAACACACATTCTCCACAACCAAAAAGTCAAGCATTATTTGATTTTGAAAGTGAAAGTCCATTTAATTCAAATTCTCAAAAGAAAGATGATATATTTGCTTCATTAAATACTAGTAAATCAAAAAGTTCATCACCAAATATTCAACAAACAAATGGAGATTTATTTTGGAAAGGAACAAAAGATTCTTTTGATTTTAATGGTCAATGGTAAGTGAATGGTTTGTTTTACTGATTAAATGTTTATTTTAGAATAAAAAGGTATTTAAGGAAAGAGTTAGGATTTTGTTAGTTTATTGAGAAATATCAATAGTAATGAGAGAAGGAGAAAGAATAAAAAATATTAGGAAATAAGAGAAAGTTAATTTGAAATAAAAAAATAAAATTTTTATAGTTCAAGTAAAAAATACTAATCTTCTTTTTCAAAAAACCAAAAAAAGAAACTAAAAAAAAATTTTAAGTTTAGTTGGGAAATGGAAAGTGATGACCAATTCATTCAGTTCATTCAGAAGAAAATGGTGTTAATATCATGGATGGAAACTATTCTTAAAGTACCTATAAATCCTGATTTATGTAATTCACTTAAATCAGGAACAATTTTATGTTATTTAGCAAAAACTATTGATGATGATCTTATTCCAGTTATTCATGACTCTAAACATCCATATAAACAATTAGAAAACTTAAATATGTTTCTTCAAGTATGTAAAGAAATGCACGTTCCATTATTAAGAATTGCAACACACGATGATTTTGTAAAAGGGGTTTGTTAATATTTTATTTATTAGGTTAGTCAATTCATTTAATAGAATATTGTTAGAATAGTTGAATGTGTCTTTCTATTTGCTACAGAATGTTTTAAAATCTATAACATTGAACCATTTCCACAAATTCCTATTGAAGAAGTTAAAAAAAATCTTCCTTCAGGTCAGGAAGCTGAAAATATAAAAGAACAATTAAAATATATTCAAAGAACAGTTATTGGTGGCAAAATTCGAGTTTCTGCCTCAGTGTTTAGAACTACATTACAATTTCTTATGTCAACAACAAAAGGATTTGACAGTTTGTTATATTTTTGTTAAATAATTTTAATAAATATATATTTATCACATTAGTGAATGTATTTGAAGGTACTATTGCTAAGGCACAAGCTTATTTCAGAAGATTTTCTGCAAAAAATGAAATGAATTCATTGAAAAAAAAGAATGCATTTAGAATTAAAGTTACACAAGAAATGGTTAAAACAGAAGATGATTATGTCCATTATCTTAAAGAAGGTATTGATAAATATAGACCAATTATTCAAAGTTTTGTTGAGAATGGTGCATTAAAGAAAGATAGTGTTCAAATAATTTTTAATAATATGGAAGAAATTTATCAATTTAACTCTAAATTTTTAAATGATTTGAAGAAAGCTACTGAAGATATGAAACCAAATAAACCATGGATTAATGTTTATAAAGAACTTGAAGGTGCACTTAGTGTTTATACTCCTTATCTTGTTAATTATTCTGAATCTATCGAACGAGTAGAACAAATTTTATGTATTGAATGTGTCAGAGATGCATTAATGAAAGAAAAAGGGAATGATAAGGATATGTCATCATATTTAATTATGCCAATTCAAAGACTTCCAAGGTATGTTTTATTATTAAATGAATTAAAAAAACATACATGGAATGATCATCCAGATGCAAATAATCTTGTTGAAATGGTTAGTCTTATTAAAAAAGTAACTACTACAATAGATGAAACTAAAACTAAAGCAGACAGTGAAAGAGTTAAACCAAAATTATTTGATAAATTTAAACCAGGAAAATTTGGAGATATAACAAATGAAGAGATATTATATATAACTGACTTTAAATTAAAAGGATGTCCAGTATCAGCTATTCTAACACAAAATTTACTTGCAATATCAAATAAAGAAAATTTAATTAGATTTGTCTTTCCAATATCAAGAATTACTCTTCTTCCTTGTAACTCAAAAAAAGATTCTATTAAAATTAGAGTAAGGACTAAAAGTAAAATAAAATTACAAGGAACTAAACTTGTTCCTGATGGTGGATTAATTAGAATGGTTAATGACCTTAAAAAGTTACAATCTGCTTCAGTTCCTAACTTCCCATTAACGGAAAGTTGTGTAGTTCATAGGACAACAGAATTGCATTCTGGTGATATTGATAGAAGTATTGACCCAGAAGAAGAATTAATGAAAAGAAGAAAAGATAAAGGAGGAAGGATGTCTATTTATTCAAAAAGACCTATTGCATTAACTAATGATCAATTACCATTTAATTCTTCTTTATTAAAAGTTCCTATGGAAAAAAAGAATAGATGTTCTGAAATTCCAACTGATAATATTAAAAGTATTGAAGAATATAAAAATGATAGACAATCAGAGTGTTCAAGAAAGGGATCTGTAAGTGGAACTGATAGTCCTTCTTCATTTAAACCTAAATTAACTATTTCTGTTAACAATAGTAAAGGAGATGCTTCAAAAAGAGATCGTAGATCTTTGTGTGCTGAAATTACATTAAAAGTATCAAAACATGGTGGAAATAATGATTTAACAAAGAATATGTTAAGAGAAAAAAATGTTCAATTAGTAGATGGTAAAAGAACACTTAATTCACTTGGGCTAGAGGTTTATTCTTTTAGAGAATTAGAAAATAAACCAGATGGAATTGCCAAAGATGACTTAGTTGTTTGTTATTTTTAATATTAAATATTAAAATGAAGTCAAATTAAGAAGAAAAACTTAACATTTATAGTTTCATTTGTCAGATGAAGATTTTATCGAATTATTTGATGTTACATTTGATATGTTTAAATCATGGAAACAATGGAAACAGCAAACAGAAAAACAAAAAGCAGGATTATGGTGAAAACTATTTTCTCATTTTAATGTAATTGCAATGAATTTCACTTCATTGAGTCTCTATTTTAAAGCTAAACAAAGAAGTTAAAGATATGTTATTAATAAAATTAATCATCTTCTTCACTCGAGTCTCCCATAAATTGTGCCATTAGTAGAGCTGCTTCCTCTGCTAACTTTCTTCTCTCATTCATATCAGTTGTTTGAGCAGCCCTTCGTTTATAATCTAATAATTTATTTAATGCAGTCTCTAATGTCAAATCTTTTTCATCACTTTGAGTTGTTTCATTAATTGGTTTTGTTAGTTCTTGCTTTGAAGTATTTGGTAGTTGTTGTGGTGGTTGTAATAATAGATCTTCATTATATCTCTGAGGTTGTTGAGAGAAGTTCCATGGGTTATTTGCAATAGCCTCTGCAATTCTGTCTATTCCTTCTGCGTTGTTTTCATCTTCTATTGCTTGTCTGTCAACATATTCAATACCATTATCAATGCACCAATCAAGTAATTTACCATTTCCGATAATCATATTTAATTCTCCAGCATTGTATTGAGTTATTTTTTGATAATTTGGAGTATTTTCTTCGCAGATATATCCTCCCCATTCATCTGTTATTCCTTCTTCTATACTTTGAAGTGGAACTAGTTCAATATCTATAGATCCATATTTATGTGTAATTGTAATTCTTTGTGTTTCATGTTCATTTATTGGCTCATATTCAACATTTTCTTTTTTGTTTAATCTCCCATTGGTTATATGATGTTTTAGTGTATGAACAATTTCTTTAAATTCTTCTGGTTTCAAATTAATCACAGCTACTTTATTACTCATCTCTCTGTTTTTTGTTTTTTAGTTTTTTTCTATTATTTTTATTTTTTTTCATTTTGTGATGAATAACATTTTTATTTGAGTTTTGTTCTTTTCAATAGAACATTTTCAATAATTTTTTTTGCCTGCTATGCCTATTAACGTACTTTTAAAAGATATGGAGAAGATTTTTCAATATTTTTTTTTCTGATTAATAAAACCATTAATGGATTGTATCATTTTTTTGTTGTAATTCATGATTCTGTTTTATTTTTAGACAAAACAGTTTTCGAAAAACGAAGTTCAATAGGAAGTGGCTGTTTTGTGGATTATTTAAGATAAAAAACTAGTTATCTCAATTAAATGTTCATTGGTATTTTACTTTTTGTATTTGGGAATATTTTTTATGCAAGATCAAATGAATGGACTGAGAATAATGGAGTTATTGGTTATTTTCCAATGGGTATTGAACGAAATGGATGGGCGCATGAATATATAAAAATTGGCACTAAAAAGAGTGATGTATTTTATTTTAGAAATGGTTGTTGTACTTTAGAGAATACCATTTTTCAAGATTTTGATACTACTGGGAAGTCTCCAAAATATCTACACTTTGAAGAGCCAACATCAACAATGAAGTCATTTGGATTAAGAACTATACATTCTGAAGGATTGTTATTTCTATTTATGAAAGTTATTCCAGATAACTTTGTATTAACATTTGGTTGTTTTGGTATAGATGGATGTAGAACGAAAGTTGCTGATTCATCAAAACCAAATATTCATATTTATAATTCTAATATTAATATCTATTCTGATATAAATCAGAAATTTTATTTTATTATTGAAACAGATTCTACTACAAGATACATTATGATTGATGGAGATTCAGCTCAAACATTAACATTTGACTTTAGTTCTTCTTCTCAAAGTAATCTTCCAAAATATTTATTCACTGGTCATAACATTGATTCAGTGATAACATCATCTTATTCTATTTCTAATGTTTGTAATAGAGATGGAAATGGTAGATATGTTATTTATGATTTAATTGAACCATTATCTGATTGTAATTGTTCACTAACAACTTCAACACCAAATATTTCAGTTTTATCAAATTGGAATTATCCTGATTGTGTTAAAAATTCTTCAATGTATGATTTAAATCTTCCAAATTTTGAAACTATTCAATTAAAAGATTTAAATCAATGGAATTCAATTATTTTTGAAACAAAAACAAAGGTTATTGATATAAGTTCTATTGGTGAATTAATTGTAAAAACTCTTGTACTATCTTCTTCAAATGAAATTACATTTAATGGTATTGTTATTGTTTCTTCTTTAACTGTGATTTCACCTTCATATTGTATATTTAATGATATTCAAATAAATAATGAAATAGATATTTCATCTATTCATTCACAAGAGGTAATTTTATTTAAAAGAATAATAAATCATTTTGAGTCACAGTTTTTGCTTAATAATGTAATGACTTGTGGAAATAGATTTGTTCCAAAAGGTTCATTTTTTATGTGTCAATGTATTTTTGATGGATCAAATTATATAGATTCAACACTAAAACAGTTTAATGATTGTTATAATTATAAATTATATCCTAGTAATACTTTAAATTTAAGAATTAATTTCAATTTATATGAAATCCAATCAAATGAATATTGGAATAATGTGACAATAGAACAAAATACTTATTTCAACACAAATAATAAAATTCTTTCAATTAAATTTTGTTCATTTAATGGATATAATATTTTTATTAATGGTTCTTTGTTTTGTGAGACATTACAAGTAGATTCTCAAACTAGAATTAAGGTAAATGGAAATTTTGAAATAGAACAATTTATAAGTAAAAATGATTTTTTTAATATTAAATCAGAAAGTGTTATTTTGTTAAATGAGAATAGTTCTTTACACTTTCCAACAATATATTCAGTACAGACATGTGTTAACTTTGCTGTATCTCCAACTCCATTTAAATTGATTAATTCTTCATTCTTAAATAATAGAATGATTTCTTTATCTTCTAATAAACTAGTTCGTATATGTCCAGTAATACAATTGGATATTAGTGTTTATTGTACTTTAGTTTCTGGTTCACTATCAAATGGAAATTATAAAGAAGTATATTGTCCTTGTTATTCTTCAAATTGTGTTGTTCAAATATTACCTTCAATATCTTTTTTAGATATTGATCATTCATTTGAAGGGATAGTACATATTAACGATAGTCATTTGGTTATTAAACCAGATGATTTTGATTTTTCACTTAGAATTACTGCAAATTATTCCTTTGTTTACTTTCCTTCACAAACAAATAACATAAATGTTCTTTTTAAAAATTCGTTTGATAGTGTTGTTACATCTGAACAACCATTTAACCTAAGAAATGAAATAACTCATTCAACAAAAATAATAACATCATATTGTTCTTCATATTATATAATGAACAATGAAGTAACATGTTTGGTTTGTGATGGAATTATTCTTAATGGAACTTGTGTTAATTATGAAGTAATTGATGTTCCATATTGTACAAAGAAAAGTAAATATACTTGTGATGAATGCAGAGAACATTATGAATTTATTAATGGTATATGTTCTTTATGTCCTACCAACTGTCGTCGATGTATAAATAATAAATGTATATTATGTGATGATTATTATCAAATTAACAGCTATGGAAGATGTCAGAAAAATGAAGAGTTAAAAGTAGTGTCGAACAAAGTAATATCATGTTCTGAAGGTTTTTATTCAGATGGAACACAATGTATGTCTTGTGAAGAGAATTGCATCCAATGTACATCAAAAAAGTGTATTATTTGTGAAGATGATTATATTAATATTAATGGTAGTTGTATTAAGAAAACAAATAGTGAAACTGTTGTTACAACAAAATCAATTATTTCATGTTCTAATGGATATTTTTTCGAAAATGGTCGATGTCTTTTATGTTCATCCAAATTTCATGGATGTTCAACGTGTTCTTCTCAAGAGTGTTATAGTTGTTTTAATTCTAGTGAAATTGTTACAACTAGTAAATCATGTTCATATGTTGATTGTGTGTCAAGTCATAGCCATTTTATTTCTTGTATTGATAAAGCAAAATATTTTGATGGAAGTGACTGTATTTATTGTAATGAAAATTGCAAATATTGTGTTAACAACAAATGTGTTGAATGTTTTTCTGGTTATATTTTAAATTCTTTAGGTCAATGTATCAACAAAGAAAATGTTACTAATTGTGCACAATATGTTTATGGAATTTGTGTAAAATGTACTAATAAAATGTATGTCTCAAACTATGAATGTAAGACTTGTCCTGAACATTGTTTAGATTGTTTAAATTCAGAGTATTGCTTTAAATGTGAGAATGGATATACTGCTATTAATGGGTTGTGTGCTTTATCTTCTTTAGTTATACAAAATTGTCAATTTTTATTTTCTAATAACGAAGGATGTGCTGTATGTATGAAAGGATATTACAGATCATCTTCATTATGTAAAAAATGTAAAAGCCATTGTTCATCATGTCAAACAGACTTGCAATGCTTAGAGTGTAATGAAAATTATTATATTTCGATGAATGGGTCATGTCTTTCTTATGAGTTATTAAAAAATTGTAAATTAAAGACTTCCACTGGGTGTGAAGAATGTGATACTGGTTATACTTTAAAAAATAAAGAATGTATTCATTGTTCTTATATTTATGAAGGGTGCTCTGAATGTAATTCTTATCAATGCACTTCATGTATTGATGGAATATTAAAAAATTATCAATGCTTACCATTATCACAAATAAGTCATTGTATTTCAGTTGAAAAAAGTATTTGTTCACAATGTAGTTTCTGGTATCAACCTAGCAATGATGGGATGTATTGTCAAAGATCTCCTGTATGGTGGGTAATTATATTAGTCATACTGGTGATTCTCTCAATAACTATTATTATTTTAATAATTATTGGATGGTGCAGTAGAACATATTATAGATATAAAATACAAAAACAATATGAAAAAGAAAATAGTTTCTTTAATATAAGCTATTGTAATATTGTATTTATGTCATTACCTTACAATAACCAAATAATGGTAAATAAAAGTATAATAAAATTTAAAGAAGAAAATGATAATGATTTTCCTGAGCTGAGTGTTGGAAAAGAAATAAGAGAAATTCTTTGTATTGCAAATTCAACTAAAGAAACAATTAAAGTTCAATTAACAACCAAAGAAGAAAATAACAGATATTTATTAAGAACTAATCCTCAAATAGTTACTATTCCAAAAGGAAAAGGATGTGAATTTGATGTATTTGTTACACCATTATGTTCCTGTACTGTTGAAGATCATATGGTTATTACTTCTAAAAATATTCGTACAAAAATTGAACAAACCTGTACTATTCAAATATCATTCAAAACGAAATTATCAACAAGATTAGACTATACAGAGTTTAAAGAAATAAAGAAAAAAGGAGAAGGTTCATTTGGTATTGTTTATGAAGGAATATTTAGAGGAAGGAAAGTTGCAATAAAAAAAATGAAGAATTTAGAAGATAATGAAGAAGTTATGGAGGAATTTGAGAAAGAAGTTTCTATGTTAGATAAATTTAGATGTGATTATATTATTAATTTCTTTGGAGCATGTTGTTTAAAAGACCATATTTGTATAGTTACAGAATATGCAGAGTATGGATCAATTAGAGAACTTATTGTAAAGAAGAAAGAAAGCATTCCAAAATTATCAATCCGTTTAAGATTTCTTCTTGATGCTGCTAAAGGAATTCAATATCTTCATAATAATAATATATTACATCGTGACATTAAACCAGATAATATTTTAGTAATGTCTTTTGATGAAGAGAATACTGTAATGACTAAACTAACAGATTTTGGAAGTTCAAGAAATATTAATATGTTAATGACTAATATGACGTTTACCAAAGGAATTGGAACACCAATATATATGGCACCAGAAGTTCTTAATCAAGAAAAATATAAAAAGGAAGCTGATATATATTCATTTGCAATTACTATGTATGAAGTTGGTCAATGGAATGACCCATTTCCAAAAAATGATGAAAGATTTGGTTTTCCATGGAAAATAGCAGAATTTATTACATCAGGAAAAAGATTAGAACAACCACCTATAATTCCAGAAAGTCTTTATACAATAATAACTCATTCATGGACACAAAATCCAAAACAAAGGCTCTTAATATCTTCAATAATTAATTCATTAAAAACAATTATAAACACACAATAAAATATCTCTAACTTAAAAAAAATGTATATATTTGTAACAAGAATTTTCATTTACTATAAAATGATAAAATCTTTTGAAAAAAGAAGAAGAAAAATCCATCGTATTGAAATTATTAAAAATTCAACTTTTCTTATTTTTCGTTAAAATTTCTTTATTAAAAACTTATTAATCAAAAAAATTTCTATCCATGCAACAAGACCCTCTTGTAATAACTAATCATATTCAATCAGAGGGGACTAGTGATATTACTAATAGTGAGATATCACAAACTATTCAATTTAATGAAATACCAAAAATTTCTTCATTTCACTCTGAAGAAAATGAAATTAATAATTCTTCTAATCAAGTTCAACGAAGTGACATCGTTTCAATAGAAAATAAAAAATATATTCCTCCTAAACCTGAAAAAGCACCTCCTTCTCCAGGAAAAAAAACAATTCATAAAAGTAATTCCATTGAAAAAAAAAGATTGTCAGAAGGATATGACTCATGCTTATTGATTAAAGATATATCACATCCAATAACACCTCCTCCAAAACCTAAATATTCTCTTGGAGATAAACCATTGTATGAAGCACCAAAATATAAAAAGAAATTAACTGTTATAGACAAACAAACACGTATTAATCGAAGGAAAATTCAATCACAGTCATTCATTTTTGTTAAAGGTGTCCCATTAAACTTTGAAAGATACTCACAAGTTAAAGAAGAAAATAATACCAGTCAAATTCAACAAAAATCTTTTACTTCAGAAAATATTCCTACTGTCACTATTGAAAATATTCCTTCAAGTGAAGTTTTAAGTGAATTACAAAATAATTCTATTCAAATAGAACATGTTAACAAAATTGAATATCATAACTCATTATTAGTTATTACTCATCCAATATTTCGATCATTAATAACAACTAATATTTCTATTTTACAAGACGCTCTTAAATTAAATGCAATATTAATATTACCACCAGTATATTGTATCAATGATATTGACTTGACAAAAGATTTCTTCTATTCTCATTTTATTTTACTTGATAAAGAATCATTACACTTTATAACTTTAACTCAAATACCAGGAATTATTTCTGATTCTAGTTTAAGAATTTTTATGAGTGACGTTAAAGATTTTAATGGAACAGACTTTGAACGATTTGATGAGGCTATTGAAACAGTAAAAGATATATCTAAAACAAGTGCTCCTATATTCTCAACAAATATCATTGGTGTTGAGGCTTATATTGGAAAAGAAACAAACCAATCTCAATTAAATATTTTATTAACAAAATCACCAATCTATCAACATGGATGTAGTTGGGCATGGAAATTAATGGATGGAAATGCACCATTATCTTTTAATGAATATACTATTGAATTATCATTAGATGAAAGTGTTGAAACAATTAAAAATTCAATTCCTGGATTTATTGATCAACAACGAATTGACAAAATGATGTTAAATGATAAGTTTCAACCAAAATTTGTATCACCACTAGATGATGAACGAAGAAAAGAATTAAATAATAATAATGAAATACAAAAGAAGATATATCAAAAAATTCTTAAAATAAAAGAAGTTTCAATCCAAATTGACCAATTTGTAGTTGGCTTTGGAGAAATGGTTAAAGGAATGAATTTAGATGAACGAAAAGAAGTTATTGAGAAGTTTATAAAAGAAATGATTATTACATTAAAAAGATTAAAAATTGGAATTGGTGAAGATAAACAATACTTCACTGTTCTTCAAAGACTATTATATACTAGGGTATTTAAATATATTTGGCCACCAAGTATTAATACAATTGAAAAAATGAATCTTAAAGAAGTTGAAGAAGATCATCTTATAATGAATAAAGTTATAGAACATCAATTTATTACACCAGAGTTATTAGATGTTGATTTTGATGAAAATAAGAGTGTGGAACCTCTAAGTTATGCTATAAATTGTTTAAAACAAATAGATTCTGTTAGAACTGCTCAAGATAAATTAGCATATATTTATATTTCATTACGTATTGTTGAAATGACAATAATTTTTGTCACGGGGAATGTAAGTGGAGATAGTTTTGTTCCTATTGTTATTTATACTTTATTAAAAGCAAATTTACCTCATCTAAGTTCAACAGTAAAATACGTTATGACTTTTGCTGAAACTACTAGAGGAGCTCATTCATGTTATTTCTGTAATTTTGTGGCTGCAGTGTCTTTTATTACTCAAATGAATGAAAACTCATTACATTTTGAAGAAAATGGGGTTTACCAACAATTTATCCAGCAAACAAAAGACTCTTATCAATATTCAATTAAACAACGTTGTCCAACTATTCTTCCAGCTCATTTACTTACTTTATTTGATGTAACAAAAACAGAAGAACCACAAAAACAACTTTATCATATGTTACAATCATCTTCTGATAATTTCCCACGAGAAGAAATCCCTACACTCCTTTCTGTATTAAAATCTTTGTATGAAGAAAATAAACGTTTAAAACAACAAGTAAATAAAATAAAACAAACACAAAATTAATTAAAATGTTCTTTGAATTTTCGTTTTTCCAATTAAATTAATAATATAAACAAAATCAAGCAAACATTTGCTCTAAATGATAATTCCATACAGCTGGAGATTGTGAACGTTTAAAACTTCTATCAGGAGAAGCAACAACAAATTTAGAATTAAAATAATTATTACATCCTGATATAAACAAACAATTCACCAAAAATTGTTGTAATGAATTTAAAGTATTTTTATTACTTGAATTACATGTCTGAATTACTAAAGTACATTCAGCAATAATCATACTAACATATTTTCCTCGCTCACATCTTGGGGATATATAAGGTTTTAACAACTCATCAAATACATCTTCTCGTGCTGCCATACATGCATCCCTAAATTCTGTAAAGAAACAAGGATCACATACTGTAAAAGACTGAACTATTTTGTGTGTGATTTTTTCTTTTAATACTCCATATGAATAAAATTCTAATACCCGTTGACTTTTTCCAAAAGAAGAAGAAAGTGAAACAGGCAAAAGGTTATGAGAAAGAACTTGTTTCATTATTCTATGAAAATGAGCAGATTGTATTGTCATACTAATTTAACTAATTACATTCTTTTAAAGATCCTTTTATAATTCAAACTATTTCATCTCACTAAAACAATCTTGAGGTTTGTTTAACGAAAAGTCAACAAGAGCATTCTTTTTTTAGTAGTTTAAACGTGGCAAAGTCAACTTTTTTCTTTATATATATTAAAATAGAAACAAATGACGGGAAATAGAAAAATTCATTAAAGAATAATAATTAAATTAAGGTTTAATAACTTTCAACTTATTGTTCAGGTGAGAATTTCTTCCCTTCCTTCACTCTCCTGAGAGTCTTCTTCTGGCATTTCTACATCTCTGTATTCTCCAGAATGATCTCCACAATATCTCATAATATCTTTCATATTTATTATTACGTTCTCTCTTGTCATTATTTCCCTTGATATTTCTATCCCTTCTGCTTTTAATAATATAACTGATTCTTTGTTTATTAATCAACTCACTGTTATTACTACTGGTATAACTATTACTCTCACTAATCTTTCTATCTTTCTTATATGTTCGTGTAGTTTTGAATACACATTAATCTTATCTGTAAATGCTTTACTTATGTTTTTATCTCTTACTATTCTCATATCTATAATCATTGCTTTTTTCTTATTTAAGTCTCTGACATAAATGTCTATTCTTTTATGAATTTGTCTTCTGTTTACTACTTCTTGATTCTAAACTATAAGTATTTTATCTTTCTCTATTCTTCTTTCGTTCTTTCCTAATTCTTCTTTCCTTATTATTAATTTTTTGTATTTTCTTCTTCTCTCTTCTTCATCTTTTCTTTGTTTTCATATAATTTGTATTTAATCTTTAATCTCCTCCATATATATTCTCATATTCTATCATGTTTATTCATTTGTGTTTTCTTAGTAACTATACAGTTCAAAAGAATATGATTTATTGTTGCTATCTTATTACACATTGGACACATTGCATATCTCATGTCATGTTTCATTAATGCTTTCATTACTCCTACATTTGTTGCTTTCTCTTCCATCTTCTTTATTTGTATATATGCTTTTCTTATAACATTAATTCCTTTCCATACTTTAATTGTTTTATTTTACTCAGTCATTTTATCCTCAAATACTCTCAATACTTCACTACTTACTTTCTTGTTTCTCCATTTATTGATATATTCTTCTTGAAACTTTTCTCTCACATACTTAATTATTCTGTTTTTATCCCGTTTTCCTCTTTCTTCTTCTACTATTTTTCTAAATTCTTCTTTGTTTATTCTTTTTCCACATGCTTTATACAATCTATTCCACATTCCATTCTTCTTTTCATTTATTCGTATCATGTCTCATATTCTATCTCCTCTTTTCCATGTGTAATACAAAATAGTTCTTATTAATTCAATTGCATATTCATCTCTAATGCTTTTCAATCCATCTCCCATTTTATTTCTGTTTACTTATAATCTGCTACTACACATTCATGCTCCAATAATCTTTCCTTCTTTCATTTCTCTCCTTATTATTTTATCTATTTCTATCAGCTTCATAATTGGTTATTTAACTACAAATGCACTATATGTGAACTTATGAATTATTTCTGTATTAATTCAGTTAATATAATTCATACTACTGTCATTCCCTTTATTGTTTTCTTTTATTCCTTCTTCTACACTTTTACTTATTCTTTCTATGCATCCCAAATCATAATTTCTTGTGAATTGATAAACAACTAAATACTTATATGGATGTTCTGAGTCTACTATTGGAATGTCTTTCATATTATCTTGTATTTCTATATTTCTTTTCTTCATTACTCCACTTTTATTTACATTAACTTCCATTCCTATTGCTTCTATTGCTTCTATTATATTTTATGCACTATTTCCATTCCTTTCTTTGTTTCATTTGTTACTTTAATATCATCCATGTACGGTACGTGTGTCACTTTTATTCATTTCTCATTTATTTTATCAATAACATCAGAAATGATATTCATTTGTAATATGAATAAGAGTGGAGAAATGGAATCTCCTTGTAATATACCATTCTTTATTTTAACTTCTCTTATTTCTTCTTTATATCTATATCCTATTCTTATTCTCCATCTACTACTCATACTCTTTATTAATTCAGTTATTTGAAATGGTATTTTGAAGTATCTTAATACATTTTCTAACCATTCATGATTAACTGTATCATATGCTTTTTTTAATGTCATAGAATGATTCTAAATATCTTTTCTTCTGTACTTCTCTTTCATTTCTTTCTAATAAACTTATGATATTTCTTTTGCTACTAGACTTCTTTTCTTATTCCTATATTGACTCTTATTAATTTGGTATTTCTATTCATTATTTGCTAGTTGTTCTTCTATCTTTCTATTTATGATTGAAGTAAAGATTTTCATTATTACATTAAGACATGTTATTGGTCTATAATTCTCTGCTTTTTGATATCTCCTCCTTTGTGTATTAGAATAGTTCTTCCTGTTATTATTTCTATTGGGATGTTTTCTGGAGTGTCTAACCATTCATTAAACACTATAATTAATCTGTCTCTAACACTCTCTAATCTTTTCCAGTAATATCCCTGAATATTGTCAATCCCTGGTGCTTTCCATGATGGTATTCTTGTTATCACATTCTCTATGTTTTCTTTTGTGATTATTATTCTTTTCAAATTCCTTCTATTACTCTCTTCAATTATCTCTTTTATTCTTTCATTCTCTTTCTTTATTCTTTTTCCTCTGTTATATATCTTATTCAAAAACTCTTTTGTGTCTTCTTCACTTGGTTGTTCTTCTCTTCCTATTTCCTTTCTTATTTCTTTTTTTCCAGTAGTACTCATGATTTTGTTTCTGTAGATTCTTGTTCTTTCACTTTTGTTTAAGTCTACTTCTTTTTCCTCATTTCTTTTAAATATTCTAATTGTTTTATTTCTTCATTTACTTCTCCCCTTATCTTTTCTTCTATCATTCTTCTTATTCTTAATATCCTTCTTAATTTTTTATAGTTTCCTCTTATTAGCATGTCTTTTAGTTTATTTATCTTCCTTTGTATTACTACTTCATATTCTTTCTTAATTCCTATGAATTTGTTTTCTAAATACTTCTTTATTATGTATGTTATTCTGTAAACGTCTTCTTGTATCTCTCTAATACCTCCTTCTTTCCATTCACATTTTTCATCAATATATCTTATTATCTCTTCATATACTTCTTTATTGAAATAATATCCAATGTATATACACTCTTTGATTTCTTTTCTTTTACTTTTCTTTATTAACTCTTATATGTATTCTACATCAATCTCTTTTTTCTTTTTCTTTCTATTAATCTCTCTAATCTTTTCATTTTCTATATTATCTTCTTCTTTAATCACTTCTTCTGCTTTCTTATTAATGTATTCTATGTTTTCTTTTTTAATCCCTTTACTTCTTTTAACTATTTTTATATATTCTTCGATTGTAATATCAATATTATATTCTTCTAATATTCTTTTTATTTCTTCTTTTCTTAATTTCATTTTTATTTTAATATTCATTATATTAATTCCATAACAGACATATTCTTTCTTCCTTACTTCTGTTTCTTCTCTTCTCCTTGCTTCACTTCTTCTTCTTTCTTCTCTTGTTCTTCTTCTATTATGATCATCTTCTTCTGTTCTTTCCATATTATATTCATCTTTTCTGTCACTGATGATGCTCGTCGTATAATTGTCCCTTGTTCTGTCTCTTTCATCCTTATTCTTTTCTTCTTCTGTCTTTGAAAATTTCTTTCTTCATCATCATCTTCTTCTTGTTCTTTAAGTAATTCTTCTACGTCTATTCCTCTTTTTTCTATTCCATTTATTAGTAATTGTGTTTTCATTCATTCATTACTTTGCTTTCTATCACACTTTTATCAATTTGTCTTTGTAAGTATTTGTTTCTCTATTCCTTTCTTCTCTTCTACCTTTTTCTTCATTTCTTCTTTTTCGTTGCTTTTCCTTCTTTCTTCTTTTTCTATGTTTTCTTTTCATTCTTCTTCTATTATCTTGTCTTTTTCTTCTATTTCCATTGGTATTTCTTCTTCTTTTACCTCTGTTGTTATCTCTAACTTCTCTTT